ATGCTTTTGTGAGGTTTCTAGCAGGCTTTAAGAAACTTGTGGTTAGCTTATGAGACTTATAGTTTGCTTTAGGGAACTTGTGATATGCTTTATTAGGTGTTTGTTCTACTTTAACAATCTTTCGGTAGAGTTTTTGGTATGTTGTATGAGGTTTCTAGCCTTTTTAAGAAACTCGTGGTTAGTTTATGATGTTTCTACCATGCCTCAAGAAATTTGTGACCTAATTATATGATATTTATGATATGTTTTAAGAAACTTGTGGTCAGCTTTATAAGATTTCTTATATGTTTTAGGAGACTTGTGATTGACTTATAAGCTTTTTGATCTACTTTATGTTATTTGTGGTGTGGTTTGTTATGGTTCTAGTCTGGTTCATGATACTTGTGGTTCTTGTCAGCTAAGGACGGGACGCGAAATAAATGGGTAGCGCCACAAACGTGTTCCTCTCCTAAAATTTTAAAATGACAAGCATACTCATCTCTTTAAAAATCAGTTGTCATTGTGTTCAACCCCTTAAATATAAAAAAAACATCACAATATAATGTTCCTATTGGTTGGAGTTTTTGTAGCACCATGCTAACAAATTGGGTGTTACCACCCTGATCTAAACTTGAACGGAATTATATCAAAATAAATTATTTAATTGCATTATAATTTCAATTGTCAACGTTATTACCTTTTTATTTTAATTATAAATGTTAACAAATATCATTGTGTCTTTGTGGAAGACTTTGAGACTCTTTGATAGGGCAAAAGCGTGTATATGCAAATTCCTATCTCGTAGTAAACCGGGAAGTTCGGGTATCAACTCTCAGGGACTGGGAAAACCTTATGTTCTCTCAATTTTAAGGAGCAAACTATAGGTGGAAATAGTTTGAGTGAAATTATTATCTAATAGCAAAGTAATAAACCAAAACCAGCAAATTAAAGATGTCGGGAGAAATTCAATGGAGAAAGTTCTGAAGAATTACCGGGATTCACTACCTATTATAGAAAAAATAATTCGCTACAAGTTTAATCCATATCTCTATAGCCAAGATATCTCTAGTGTGCTAGCTATCCATGCTGGGAATTACTACGTACTAAACAATTAAATCAAATTCTAATGCCATAGGTCAATGAATTAACTATTTAGCCTGAAGATGAATATCCCAATCAAAACCGCACAACACCTTATTAATCCACTGTGCTTCGATAAGTTAATATGTCACATGAAATATGTACATTTATTAGGGTTTCATTGTCGCTAATAAGTAATAACCTAATTAACTACAAGTCATTGGATTAGTGGCCAATCCCAAGAATGAACCAAAATCCCTCTCCAATTGCAGGTCTCCAAATCCCGGCTAACAAGCTCTGCCCATCTCCAATTATTCGGCCCAAATAATCCTCCAATTAATTCCGGTTCCTTGGTCCAAAGAAATCTCCTCCAAACACTGCGTTCCATTCATGGACAAGAAGATAAAGAACTTGGTCCATTTAATTTGAAGAATGTCCCTCTTAATTTCTTCTCTGCCACCTTTTGTTTCCATTCACCATAAGGGAATTAATTCCCTTTTCGAAACGATCCGCATCAATAGAGGGGGAGGTCGGTCCATCAAAGCTCTTGCTCCAATTAGTTCTATACCATCTTTTTTTCCTTCTTTTTCCATTTACTTGTGCTACTGCAATCCGCATGTGCCGTCATTTTATCATTTTCTCCACCTAAAATACATAAAAAAAACTCTAACATAGGATGGTAATGGAATTTCAACCATTCCATAGTCCATTGTTCCTAAAACAAGAATCATATTTCTCAAACATATCATGAAATAATCACATTAGGCACACAAAATCAATATATTTTCAACAATTATCACACCCCCACACTCAATACTTACTTGTCCCTTAGCAACGACTCAGGCAAGAGAACGATGATTGGAGGAAGCACAACACAGACTAGGGAGACACAACCCTGCTCAAAACACAAGACCCACGACACACGAAACACAACATTAATACCATAAATTTATCCTTGTACTCCTGTGATAATCAGTAGTTTCTTTCTCACTGGATGAGTTGTGCTTCAATGATCATACTTCTCACCCCACACTCATAGTCTTTGCAACCATTGAACATTGACTAACTCAAATCTGGTGCAACCTACCAAATTAGCAAAACACAATTTAGATCATCGGTAGTGGGTAATTAACAACTTATAGTGCAACAATTATTAGGAGAACGTAACCACATCAGTGAGGTGCAAATCTCGTGAGGACAATCTGGCTTACTCTCTTCAATAAGCAACCAACTAAGCACAAGAGTCTAAAAAACGCATGTGGGAAGCTTTTAGCAAACTTGGTTTGAACTTTAATCACATCCCTACCTTTTTTTACAAGGAGAGTCTTTCTCTCTTTATGATTTTGCTTGCCGAGTAGTCGTATTTAGTAAATGTGGGATTTGTTTCTTACTACCGGTGGCCGAGCAAGAGCAATTCTTGCTTCTTATCACACGCATAAGGGCTTCTTTTAAATCCTTTTTCTCCGTCCGTATGGAGGGTCGTTGCACATTCTCAAACGACACTTCACTCGGCAGGGGATTGTACTTGATAATCAACATCGTAGAGTCGTGAACCGATGCTCAATTGAACCTTTCATAATCCCCCTGTGCAATGAGTGATTGCCTAACACGATTTTGGCACTTTACCCACACTTTAATTGTTATGGCAACTTTCTGATATTTTACTTGTCAGGTAGGATTTTTTTATTTTATAATGATACAGTTCACCCCATAAAAAAACATTCAAAACACAGAGACTCATTGGTAAAGACAGAAACTCACAAGTGATGCAAGTAAGCACGGTATCCAAACATATCAAATGGTCAATGTTTTGCATATAACCGCTTCACCCATAGCTATGACACTAGCCTCCCAAAAGAGAATGTTGCTAAAAGAGTTTGCTAATTTAAAGCATATCAAGTCAGTCAAAACATCAAGCTCATTGTGAAGAACTTTGCAATTCATCACTAATGGAGCGATTTTGATGATTTCATTCATGCACAAACTCATTTAAAAAGGAATCACGGTCATTTCCATCATGTTACTAATGTGATCATGGATTGTGAACAAAACCATTCCCATTTATTTTCAAAGAAGAAACCAAGTCAAGGGAAGAAGAAGCTGGAAATTTGGCTAAGTCTGGAAAACAACTCATGGTACCTACTTTGGGAGCTTACTCATTTTGTTTGGGAGACATTCGAGGGAATCTAGGTGTGGGTAATGAGAGCACAAGTCTTGATAAAGATTGTGAAAGCGTTGGGTGAGAACATTGAAGCTTTCTGGACACCAAACGAGCAGCCTAGAGATCATATGGTGATCAAGAAAAATACCCTGTCATGTGGGTTAAAATCCCGTATAGGGGATCTGAGGTTCGAGATAGGGTATTTGGATCAGAAGGACCCCCTATCGTGAGGGTTAAAATACTCAATAGGGTATTTTATGTTGTCGATTGGGTATTTTGGGCTCACGAGTTTTAGTTACTTTTTAATTTAGAATTCTTTTTCCTTTTCTTTACTTTCATTAGTTTAATTTTTCGGAACTATTTAAAGGGTTGTAAATTCTATTTTGAGGGAGATTATGTTTAATTTTTCACAAGAGTGTTCACTCGTGAATTTTGTCCTTGTTTGTTGGTAGATCTCCAACATTCGAGCGAGCTCTGTATCAATCAGGTATTCCCCTTTATTGTGATCGAGTTGCTAACCTTATATTACTCGAGCCTTCTCATGATTTTTTCTTGAGATTGCACGACAATTTCCGCCCTATCCTTTACTTTTCGATTTTTTGAGAGAAGATATCATAAAAACCCTATAAAGATTGAAGCTTCGCGACTTTGACAAAAGAACCTAAGCTTTCACAAGCTCGAGATTCTTTATTAGTTGGTATCAGATCTCCGGTTCATATCAGTAGATAGGAGAAGAAGATTACAAGCTTTCTGCAAATTCCGACAATGGGAGAAGAGCTAGAGCAACGTAATATGTTCTATACTCGTTGCTGGGTCTAAGAGAAATTGTGTTCTATGGTTGTTGATGGAGAGATCAAATCCAAATTGAAAATCCATCTTCTAAAAACACCTTGGTCTCATACATAGAATATGAAAAGTGTTCTTGTGTTTCTATTCTATACATTAGTTCTTTTCTAATATTTCGACGATGAAACATATGCTCTAGTTGTGGCTTCTCAACGTACTGATACAATTGAAACAGAATGTCAAATAACCGGCATATGCTACTAGCATTGCAATCAAATTCTTGTCAATGTTCCTCATGCTGCATGAATTGGCACCGAATAATAAATGTAAAAGTAATTTAGTTAATAAATGAGGATAATTATGTCATTATAACTAGTAAATACTTGTGGAGTTCATTTGGAAATTGCATCTCAATTCATCGGAATTGCTATAACTAGTTCCAATTCCGTAGGATTCAAAATTTAGAATTGAAAATGAATTAGTTTAAATACCAATCACAAAAAAAAAAAATTCATTTCAAAATGAATTGCTCAAAACTTATGGAATTCATTTGTACCAAATGGTACGTTGATCTTGTAGCCAGCTTAATAGGTTTGGGTAGGAGTTCTACTGGTTTGCCGTTGGAATGTATTGAGAATATTTGAGATGTGAAGTTTCTGCTGTATTGTTCCTTGTCCTAGTGGTTGCAGTTTTGGTTTGCAGTCTTTACTACTTTCAAAATCATTACCATGTGCGGAACGGTTCCTACTCAACAACACTTTCACCTTTATCATCAGTCATCACAGATAAACTATCATGGTGATGAACGCTGCATTGTCGTTTAAATGACGGGATAAGATTTAGAAGAAAATTAAGGCGTAACACAAACAAAGTGAAGAAGCTTGTCAAACTTGCATTTAACACAAACGAAAACAGAGAAGACACCTTCTTCCTCTGTTTTTTTTTTGGGTAACCTGAAATGTGGATAACAGGAAGAAGATCAGCATCCTGTTATCTAGTTACAGAGCTCACGGGCAATCCCCACCACAGAGTTCTTGACATCGAACAATATCCTGAGGTTCTGCTGCTGCAGATTGGCTATCACATTCAGCACCGAGTTCACGTTATTAGGCGCCGCCGCCATCGACAGGCACGCCACCGTCCCGGAGCTGCTGTGAATCAAGCTGTTCTCCATCGGCAGCGTCAGGTTCAGGCCCTCGAACCGCAGCGTGATCGCCGGCGCCTCCGCCGCCTCCCCGAAACACGTGTCGAACGCTCCCAGGCTGGAGAAGGGACCCTTCACCTGCTTCCTGAACTCGTCCCGTATCGCCGCGTACACGGGCTCCACGAACCGGGTTATCACCGTGCCCGAATCGATGACCGTACCCGCCCCGGTACTCGGGTCGAACGCCAGCGACTTCGGGTCGACGGGCACCCTGACCCGACCCACGCTAATTCCGGTTAGGTTGACGTAGTAGAGCGAGGGGCGGTGCGGGTTCTTGAGCAGCGGGGTGGTGCGGATGGACTTGGGCTGGCCCACTGGGCCGAGTTTAAGCGAGCCGGAGAAGTAGTAGGATCGGAAGCTGGGCAGGCAGTAGGAGAAAACCCCCGAATACAGCGGCCCAGTCTGGGAGAGGAGCGAGAGAGGGCCCCGGCCCAGGCCCAACAGTCCCTGCGGCGGGATGGACCCTCCGGAAACGGAGCGGACGCACCCAAACGCGAAACCCGGGACGACGTCGTTCCCGAGTGTCAGGGAGTCGGTGACTAGAGCGGCGGAGAGAGAGGAGTCCCCGCCGTAGGACTGGTTGAAGAGACACGTGGCGGGTTCGGGTCCGGTTGCGGGGCAGGAGGATCCGCCCCGGACCTGGGAGCACTGGGCGACGGAGCAGTCGAGGGAGCCGAAGGTGGAGGAAGCGTTGGGGGAGAAGGCGGCGGCGGCGGCGGAGGAGGAGGAGGAGCAGCCGGAGCAAGGAGAGCAAGGGACGAAAGAGGCGTCGCTGCTGGTGTCGAGGACCATGGCGAAGGTTTGGGCCGGGCTGCCGAGTTTGACCCGGACGACGTAGTTGGCGGTGTTGAGGAGGTGTTGGCCGGGGGCGATGGGGGCGACGGCGGCGGCGGAGGCGGAGATGAGGGAGGTTAGGCGGGCGGGGTCTTTGGCGGCGAGGTGGTTGACGGTGTCAAGGAGGGAGGAGGTGGCGACGGCGGGGGGTGGGGGAGGGAATGGGGAGCATTTGCTGTAGATGGGTATGACGGAGAGGCGGGAGGGGTCGTCGGACGGCGGAGAGCATGTGTCGGCGGCGGCGTCGGCGGCGGCGGCGGAGGAAAGGAGAAGGGAGAGGAAGAGGAAAACTGTTGTGAGACGGGCCATGTTGGCGACGAGCAAGCTACGGATAAGGTGAAGTTTTTTTTTTCTTCCTTTCCAAGTGTTTGTGCATGAAACTTTCTTAAGATATATGTATATATACGTGGAAGAGATGAGGTGGGGAGATTTTTGTTTTTTATTATTCTTTTCTCAAAAGAAATATTATTAATTGGTTATTCTCTTACGCGACCGTTAGTCGACAACAGCGCTTGCTTGCTAATTGTGTGTGCATGCATCCTTTTTTGTGGATATAGTGTTGAAAGACGATCATGGTGACTGGTGAGTGTCCTCAAACGATGAATTTTATGGGTGTCTTCAATCATGTTTGCAAGAGGACATGGCTAGAAACTTGAATGTAGTGATTGATAAGGTTAATGATGATGGCACAATGTAGGAAGTTGAATTTGGTATATGGAATGATCATTTCAAAATAAATTCATTGTCTTGTTGTGTTGTATCCTACTCTTATGTTTAATTATTTTAGGGAGTGGTGGATCCATGAAATTTTAGGGTATCCCGTCCCGGAACATCCCTAATATTTGGTAAAAATGATTGATCCTCCGATAGTATTTTGAGTTTAGAACAAGAGTAGATTCATTGTCATTCGGGAGTGCTCGAGACACCCCTAACATCTGTGGAAAAGAAAAGATAATAGATAAATAGTCTTTATAATTAAAACCTCCAACACTGTAATTATTGGAGAAAATATTATACATTACACTACAAACAATTTGTTGTTATGTTTAAAACATAAATGCAATGATAATCTGTAACAAAGTCTGATTACACCCAATTCCCCAATTTTTATCCAAACTCGACAAAATAAATTATCAATCCCCAACTTTATGATATTGACAAAACTTGCATCATTGTCATGTTTTATTGTTTTACTCGGCTATTGACTTGTATGACTTGTTTAGTCCGGAGAACGAGTTTACCACTTTTGAGAAAGAGAAGTTAATAAGACTTTTCATCCTAATGAGTTTGGTCACCCTTTTTACTCATTTCTTTTAGGACAGTTTGAGAATTATTATCATTATGCAAAAAATGACGAGTTATTCTTTAGATTAAAAGAAATTTGTGAATTATGTTAGCTTATGGTGAAGCAAAGGTGATTCTATCATATTCATCGGATTAGACAACATTAAGAATAAGTTTCAAAATCGAATAGTCAATCAATTCGTGAATGATTATCTGATATGATATATTGAAAAAGATTTTTTTTAGTAGAGTACCATAGCGACTAAGTGTATTTTACTATATTTTTCATAATATGAAAGCATGTCGTGGTATTTTTAGTTTTAATTTTTGAATTATTATTTCAATTTCAAAAGAAGACACTCGTAGAAAAAATTTCTCGGCCGCTACTGATTTTGGGTAGAAGGCTTAGTGGCATCATCAAAAGATCAAAGGAAAGAATATAGTTTACCATTTACAAAAGGCTAACTAGCAATCCAAATTCCTCACAAGTAATATAATTTTCTAACTACTCTTTGTGATCAACGAGTTTAAAACACCCAACATGACACTTAATATGAATTATCATGTTGGTATATGCAAAAGCTGGCAGCTATATATAGATGGTGAATAAGTGCGGGCAATATTATCTGGTCATACCTAGCTATACATCCAAATTCTGATTTGGTTTAACCATATTCTGATTTGGTTTAGTCGGATTAATTCTCTAAGCTAGCTTTTCAAGTGAATACTTTACGAGTCATTAGTTCACTTGATGTTTTGAGGCAACTTAATCCAAATTCGATCTAGTTCATAAGTATATTGGCCTTGCCTTTTTAATTCGGGTTGGACTCGGCCAAAAAAAAGAAGGGGTGCTCGTGAACCATGGATGGACTGGAGTGAGTCCATAAATTCGGGCAGCTAGCAGTAATGATGCCAATGCCATTATACGCCAATTCCATGATATGATGACTGATTTGAATTGGAGAAGAGGACAGAAGAGAAGCCCTGTGTAGCTTTGTCCCTAGCTAAACTAGTATATATTCAAGAACAGCACGCAACACGGGCTGATGTCGGCAGGTCACGGGAGGCAATGCACCAATTGACACACTATTTTCTGAAAAAAACTTTTCCATGCAGATAGGAATGCGACTAGATATGGTCCCAGCACTCCAACAGCTGCCCCGCCACCGCTAATCAATTCACATTCTGCTTGCTCAATGCCAACCTGTTATCCTCACTTTTTTTTTAGTCATAGATACTTCTATTGAAGAATGAACGAAGACTGGCGTCGTATTTCCCCAAAAGCAAGTGAAGAGCTGGGTAGATACGACATCGTTTCCATTAGCTATAGTTCTCTTTTCCGTTTTTTACTGTACAGCTTACGTGTTCTTCTTAAATTGGTTGGTAGTTTTGATTTCCGTTTGTTACCGTTGTATAGCTGTATAGGGTAAACTTTACTTCCCTTCGCGAAGAAGGGGTTGTGGATTCTTTTGTATATATTGGAGGCCTTGAGCCACTGAGGTGTCTGCGGGTTCCTTTACGATATTTTGGGTCTGAATTCCACATGATATCAGAGCCTGGTTACCACAAGTAGGGTTTCAGACTCAGCAATCCCGCATTCTTCTTCTTGAGAATTTGTTTCCCACTTTAGATATGATAATAATATAGAAGTAATTTAAAAACTTGTAAGAGGGTTGTGCGTCAATGTCATATTTCAGGACTTGGCTGGACATGGAGGCGTGGAAACGAGTTTTGGTTCAAAAGGGAGGACGTTGGAGTGAAAGGGGCGCTGGAAGAAGAAAATACCCGGTCAGGAGTTAAAATACCCGACCGGGTAAAATACAAGAGGAGGCCGGGGATAAGAAGTTTTGGATGCCAGAATTCCATAAGGGGTCCCGACCGGATAGCTAAAATACCCGATCGGGTATTCTGAACCTCGATCGGGTATTTCTCTTTCCCCACTGCGCTACGTTTCAAAATACCCGGCCGGGCAGCTGAAATACCCGACCGGGTATTATGGCGATCTGCTCCCTTTTGAGGAAAAGAAGGCCAATTTTACAAGGGTTCCGAGTTTTAGAGAAAGAAAGCAGATACCTAGAGAGAGAGAGCGACGAACCAGAATCTCCAAGCGCCCTAAATTGATCTTCATCACCATTGGAGCTCGGCTTAACCTTGGAGAAGTGTCGATTGATTGCCAAAAGCAGAATCTCATCCTTCACAGCATGTTTTCTAGATTTCTATTCTCTCTCTATGGAGTAAACTCTCTCACTCACCTGGGTATGAAGAACCCAAGATTGTATGAACCCTAGTACGAATTCGTTGATATTGATTATATTCAATTGAGGTTTGATTTCCTAAATGGCATGAATCCTGATCAAATTCCTGTTATTTATGCTTTGACCTAGAAAGAGAATATCTGCCTAGGTTGATAGAGCACCCTTGATTGAAGGTAGTGAATTGACGACTTTAATCGAGGAGTCAATTCACTATTTTGTACCGGATTTACTCCGGTAGAGGAGGTTTGGTTCGTTAGGGCCTCAATCTGTTTACTACGGTGGAGGTTAGTCGCCCGCCGTGGAATCAGATTGAAAGGGTCTGGAGACCTTTAGTCGAGACAGCAGACTGTCTAAGAACCTCCCGCGGTATAACTATCATTGAACTTGAACTTGGTGAATTATAACATGGCTTAACTGCAGTCCAGGGGGAACCATATCTGGGTGTCCTCTCTCAACTTGAACACAACTTTCACTGTTTTTGCTTGCTAGTTTAGTTAGACCTTCACTACACTTGAACCGCTAAATAATAAGATTTTCACGGAGTAGTCATTACACCTAGGACCCGGGTTGACATTATAACTAAACCCGCTATACTATGCATTAGTAGGTGGTTACACTTGGCCACTTTCTAGTGTGACGGTAGAGGCATGTCACCTTCTATGTTGGGAATATTTTCTATGAGTGTTGTATTTTGAGATTTTTGGGTAATGGCTATTTATTAGCCAAACCTTTTTCGGATTCTTTTTTATTAACCAAATTTATCGAAATACTAAGAATTAGTCAAATGTTAACTTCTAGTTAGCAATTTTGTTAGTAATATTGACTTGGCAACATGATACTGACTTGAAAGAGATATTTTTTGATATTTTTTAAATAACTTTAGTAGTTTGAGAAAAAATCCTGGTTTGTGTTTGCTTGAATGTGTCATAAACCAGTTGGTGCCAATAACTCGAGTTGTTGTGAGAGGTTCAATCGTGGATCATATACCAAACACTATCACGCCCCCTCAAAAGAAAGCCACTCACAAGGGCTTGAAGTTTGCACAGGTCTGAAGACAAGAATACCATGTGCTTAACAAATGGGGGTTGTGGGGTTTCGAACACAAGACCTCTCGGTCACATAAGGCTCTGATAACATGTCGATCTTATAGCACTCTCTAACACGCCTCCTCAAACGAAAGCCAACCTACGTGCTTGAGGTATGCACAGGTCCACCATACCTTGTGCTTTAATTAAGTGATATATTGGGGATCGTGGAGATTCGAACACACGACCACTTGGTCAAACCAGCTGGTTCCAATAACTCGAGTTGTTGGGAGAAGGTTATTATGGATCTTATACCATACTCTTACACGCCCCTTCAGCTTTAATCAACTATTAATATTGGGGGTCGTGGATATGGGTGGGCATTAGGTTCGGTTTTACCGAACCGAATAAAAATCGACCGAAACGGAAATACTTGTAATTATGTTCGAAATTCGGATGTAAATAGGGGAAATTTTGGAAATCAGGTTCGTTTGAACCGAACCGAAATTTGAAAAACCGACCGAATTCTGAAAATGTAAACCCACTGCCTGAATCCCAGCCCAATACTCGCGGCCCAGCCTTCTTTTTCCAGCCCACTCCGCCCCAGTCCAACAAATTGGATTGGGCTTCCCATCATGGCCTATGCGGCTGGGCCTGCTCCCTGCTTGCTGCCGTCTGGTGCGTCTGGTCTGGTGGGCTGGTGGCCTCTTCAGACTTCAACAACTCGACCCACCGTCGTCTGCGACCTAACCCTAGCGGTCTATCGAATTAACAAAATCGCGGCAAACTGCAAAAGGAAAGGGAAGGGGAACTGGCCACTGGGGAAGGAAAGGAAGAATCGCGGCAAAGGGAAAGGGAAGGGGAACTGTCCGACGCACTTGCAGCGACTGCCGACTGTGACTCCTCCTCCACTGCCCGAGCACGGCGACGTCGACGGCCCGACCTGAGGGCTTAGAGTGAGAGAGGCTACTTCATCTTCCTCTTGACTCGATCCTCACCCTCGCTGCTCGCCACCAGGCACCGGTCTCCGGCTCTCCGCTTCTCGCAATCCCACCCAGTGACCCAGACCCAGGCAAGCACCCGTCGGCCGCCGAGTCTCCTCTGGGCTCCGGCCGCCACTGAATCTCAATCTTCTGCCGACTCCGACGACACTCGGCACTCGCCTCCTCTACTCCTACACTCCAACTCCGAAGTCAGACTCCAAACTTCCAAAGTATAAAAAATGGTAGGTTAGCAGCCAGCCCCATGCCAAATTGCAGCAGTGAGCAGCCTGCCCCATGCCATATTTCCAGTTCCAGCGAAACAGACCAGAAGGCAGCAGACAAAAATGGTTGGGCAGTAGCTGTAGATTTCGGTTTTGGGCATTAAAACCGAACCGAGCTGTAATTCGGTTCGGTCGAACCGAACCAAATTATAGCTCGGTTCGAATTCGGTTGGGGTGCTGGTTACATCGGAAATTCGGCATGTCCTGGTTTGGTTCGATTCAAACCGAACCAACCGAATGCTCACCCCTAGTCGTGGAGATTCAAACACACGACCACTTGGCCAAACTAGCTCTGATACCATGTCATAAACCAGTTGGTCTCAATAACTCGAGTTGTTGGGAGAGGTTCAATCGTATATCATATACCATATTTTCCAGGTTCAATCGTGTATAATATATCTCAAGTCAGTGGTGCGAATTACATGGAAGCGGGAATTGGAACACAAAATGGATTTCTCACATTTTCCATGTTTATTCATATTAGGGACTAGATAGTGTGACAACACCCCTTGTGTTGTTATTGTAACAACACTAATCTCCAACCAATAGGAAGCTAATGTTGTGATGACTTTTTATTAGTTGAGTTAACCTATTGTAAAATCAAAGAAGGGTAAAATTGTCATTATGAAAAATATGTTTAAATAATAATAAAAAATTTAAAATTTAGAAAAGTATATTTTTTATTTTCTGCCAAAAATTTAGGTCGCCGGAATATGCTCACCGAGGTCGGGAATATGCTTACCGGCGTCGGAATCTAGTCATCGGGACTGGAATATTCCTATCAGCGTCGGAATCTACTCACTACGGTTATCGGAGTTTGGTCAACGAACTTTGTTGACCGGTCAACGGTCAACGACCACCAGATGTTATGGTCTGCATTGTGAGATTTATGGTTTGGTTTCTCATATTTTTGTATGCCTTTTGTGGTTTGCATTGAGAGGTTTCTGGTTTGTTTTAATATATTTGTGGTATGCATTAGGACGTTTATGGTTTGCTTTTTTTTGTTTGATTTACTGTGTTTGTGGTTTGCATTAGGAGATTTCTGGTGTGCTTTCACAAATGTTGTGGTTTGTGGTATGCATTAGGAGGTTTCTGGTTTGCATTAAGAAGTTTATGGTGTGCTTTCGAAAATTTTATGGTTTGATTTGTGGGGTTTCTGGTTTGTTTTAATGGATTTGTGGTCTGCACTAAGAGGTTTTTGGTTTGCTTTTTTGTGGTTTGCTTTACGGCGTTTGTGGTTTGCATTATGAGGTTTCTGGTGTGCTTTCGAACAGTTTTTGGTTGCTTTGTGGGATCTCTGGTTTGTTTCAGGCAATTTGTTGGACGTATTAGGAAATTTCTGGTATACTTTTTTGGATTGATTTTCCTATTTATGGTCTGCATTAGGAGGTTTCTCGAGTATGCTTTAGATACGTTTTTTGTATGCTTTTGTGACGAGGGCTCATATTACTAATAATGCATGTATAATTGGCAAAATGAAACCATATCTGAAACTAGCAACTCCAATTGAGTACACTTCTCTTCTCTTACCATGACATGACCTGCTTGTAGCTGAAAGAGCAAGGTATTCAACAAGCAGCAGAACCACTGCACCAGACAACTTCGGGCTTTGGCAAACAAACAAAAAGAAGAAGAATCGTTAACAAAACACACTTCTTACATCATTACCAAACGAGATCAACCTAGTGGAGTAGTGTATCTCTCAATTATTCATCGTTTACAATCCATATATTAGACCTGGCAATCGGGTCGGGTTGGGTAATTTCGGGTTGAGAACTTCGGTTACGGGTCAGGTTATATTTGGTTGGCTTATTTCGGGTCAAATATTGATCCAACCCATTCGGTTTCGGGTCGGGTTACAGGTCATTTCGGGTTATGAGCGTTCTCGGAAACAATATCAAACATCCTTCATATTTTCTCAAAGAACACAAATTTTCACATATGCATGACAATAGTTTACCTAACACATGTCGATTAACAAATTCTCAAATCCTCCCACGCTAATGAAATAAAATATAAATTGCGCTAATCATCAAAAAACAATCACAAGATTAATACTACTACAAGAAACACATGATATTTGATTATCCTTAAACTCCAAACATGTCATTCAAATCCTTGTGATTTTTTTAAACATCTCACCAATTTATGAGTGATTTTATCATATTTTGGGAGTAATATATTAAATGGAATGGGTCTAACAGGTCGACCCGCTAACCCACCCAACCCGACCCAAAAAATCACGGGTTATCGAGTTCGGGTCATTTGAATTTCGAGTTACAAAAATTTCTAGTTTTCGGGCGGTTTCGGGTCGGGTCAACGGGTCGGGTTGTAATTTGCCAGGTCTACAAATATAGTCATAATAACCTAAAATAATAGGAAAGCATATATGAAACTAGCAGCTCCAATTGCGTCGAAGTCCTCGCCACCTCGTAGCACCGCATCCAGTAAACCGCAGCCTCCAATTGCGAATCTCTCCCTCCTCCTTCCTCCACCTCCACCTTCGCTCCCGTGAGATTCAATTAAAAAATCAAACTCATACAATCATGAAACAGTTAATCTGTCTCCTCTCCCGCGTCGCCGACTCCTCCACCTACAGCTTCCTTTGCTCCGACTCTCACCACAATCGCCGCCGCATTGCCGCCGCCGAAAAAGTGGAATCATTCATGTCGCTGCGAGGAGATCCAGCTCAGATTGAAGCCGTTGGAGAAGAATCGGCACTGTAAGTAATGGAGATCCAGCCCAAATCGAAGCTGTTGGAGAAGAATCAGTCGTTGGAGAAAAATCCGTCTCTGTGTACTTGAGATTCGCCGGCGCCGGAGTAGGATTTCTCCACCGGAGGAGAGTTGGAATTTGGGATTAAATGGCAGTCGGAGAAGGACACCAGCAATGGAGAATAGAGCGGAGGGGAAAGCACGTACATGAGGGCTAATTTTTATTTTTATTGTAAATTTCCAATTTTGCCCTTAATAAATTATGTTGTTACGGTAACAACAAGGGTGTTGTTATTGGGAGTTGATAAATGTCGTCCTAAAAATTACTAATGATCGTCCTAAAAAACAACAAAATTACACTTTTAACCTTTTGGCATCTTTACTTTTCCTTTAGCAAACAAACAACACCTTCACTTAGAAAAAAAACACTCATTCTCCCACACTTTCGAATTCATCGATGACATTCTGAAGTCGTAATCGTCGATAATACGTCCGAACAATGAGTAGCGATTCCGACGAGGTATAAATCTCGTATTTAAAAAAAAAACACCTCAACCGAAGGTAATTTTCGGTTGGTCCATAGTTCAACCGAAAATCAGATTCAGTTGAACCATGGACCAACCGAAAATTACCTTCGGTTATGCCATGGGTGAACCGAAACCCTTCTTCGTTTACACCATGGGAGAACCGAAACCCTTCTTCGTTTACGCCATGGGAGAACCGAAACTGGCGCTCGGTTAAGCCACGGTGGAACCGAAATGGTGACTTGGTTGAGCACTGGTGAAACCGAAATCTGGCTTCGGTTGACGAACGGGCTCGACGAAATGGAAGGTCACCTTCTCCGGCGTGAAACAGGCGACGACGAGGAGCACGGACTGACGACGACTACTGGAGGCGCGCTTGACAGGGACTGGAGGCGTGGTGGACGGCGGTTAGAGGGCGTGGGGGCGGAGGATCGAACGCCGGCGTGGGGCGTGGCGGCGTGTCGGCATGAGTGGTGGCGGCGTTCTCTGCGGCGGCCGTCTCTACGCAGAGAAGAGGTCGGGTCGAGGAGGAAGGGAAGGGTTTGGGAAGGGGACTGTTTGTTTGGAGTTTGATTCTGAATTTTAGAAAGGGTAATTCAGTAATTTACGTATTAAGTTAGGACGATGGTTAGTAAATTTTAGGACGACCTTTAACCATTCAGTTGTTATTCTATCCTATTACCTATCCCTTCATATTAGGTTAGATTTTGAATGACCCTAATTAGGGTTAGCTGCCAAAATTTTGTGGCGTGCAGTCTGTCGTCTAATTCCGATTACAAATATCTAAATCGATCACAACATTAACGCTTTGGCCTTTACCCACTTGACAACCTTACTTCCTACATTTCCACGGCCAAACGACTGAATTGCCAAATTTCGTGTCACGAAAGTGTATCGGTTTTTCGCTAAAAAGTGAAAAGAGAATCATGTCGACGTCGAAGAAGCTTAGCTCTGCCGCTCTTCCGCACCTTCTTCGCCGGAGATACTTCCCGTCAACGGCTTGTCCTCCACCGCTTCATGATGCTCGCTCACCGTTTCAACTCTGCTCTTCCTTCCCTGTCTCGAACTCAGCCGTCGAGCGCTCTAGCTCCTCTGTTGCCATCGCTCGCTTTCTCCAGAACCCTCGGGTATTTCCTAGAAACTGCTTCTGCTCTCAATCTTCGGGGGAATTTAGCAACGCCAGGTGCTGGAACTGCGATGCCCAGCCTGAACCAGGTCTATTTCTTGTTTGCGATTCCTGTGGTGTCATCCAACCTGTCGATCGCTCCCTGGATTACTTCCGTTTATTTGGGCTGTAAGTATCATTTTCTCGAAATACAGTCTTGGTAGTTTGGTTTGATTGCTGGAAGCCAGCAGGTTACCAATTGGAAGTTCTCAGCTTGAGCGACTAGTTCCATTTTCCGCTGATGGAGGTTGTGTTTGTGGAATTGTCAGAGAGAAGAAGTATGAGATTGGGGATGCTCATTTGCATGATAATTACAAAGACTGGCAGAAGAAGTTGCATCCTGATTTGGTTCATTCGAAGTCCGAGGTGCATTTCGTTTTCCATCTTCTGAAGAAAGGAAATTAAATATGTTTTTACTTCTATTATGTAGATTATTAAGTCCGTGCACTATTTCCTTCTCTACACAGAAAGAGAGGGATTTTGCTCGAGAACAGTCGGCTAGAGTGGGTGATGCATATCGCACGCTGATCAATCCTCTCCTTAGAGCAATGTACATCGTGAGTCACTGCTTATGCTTGCTTTTTGGGTTTTCTGGTGACTGTCTTCCCAAATGAACTTGATATAATGTGATGTTTAGTATGTCGGCAAAGTTATTTGGTCGAAAGACCTCAGGCTTTTGGATTCCTTGGTTATGTTTTGGAACTTTTATTTCTTTGGCAGTTTCGCTAATCTTTTCAGGTATCTATCCCAGCTTATCATTGCTATTTGGATGATCATACAACTAAGTTATATTTTGCTTATGCAGATGAAAATTGTGGGTGTGGATGTAAATGAAGAAGAAACAATATCAGACCCAGACCTGCTAGTTGAGGTAACTAATTGGAGCTCAATGCCAATTCCTGTTGCATCTGTTGTTACTTTTGTCTTTGCCGTGATGTAGTACCTAGGGAAAGCAGAACGTTTGTGGAAGAATTTCAGTTCCTCATAGTTTATCATTAGCTTTGTGTCTTAATCATATTTTAGTAGGCTGGATCGAACTGTAAGAGGTACTAAACATAAGTCTAAATGACCTGATATGTACTCACTTGGTTGCTGCTCCCTTGAGTACCCTCTCGAGAAAATAAAATACAATGTCCTTACATGCTTGTCTTGACTGACTTTTAACTAATGTTGGGTGTTTCCGTCGACATGTGGTAGTTGTGATGACATTACTTTTACAAAGGTAGTTGTAAATCTAACGGATAAGATTGTTTGATTTGTGCATTGGTAGTTGCAGATGTAAGTAATGGGATATTTATTGCTTTATTCGTGTCATTCATGTTTCGAGTTGAGAACTTTTTGTTCACATTTCCTGAAATTGCTGTTAGATTCTACAATTTTCAACATTTTAGATTTCACATTTCTTGTCACTGGAAATGTCAGAAAATATAGATGAGACGCAGAAATGAGTAAGGGTTTTCCCCCTCTAATTTTCCAAATGCAGGTTATGGAGATCAGAGAATCTGTTGAAGAGGCACCAGACTCTAAAGCTCTAAACAAGATTCAGTCTCAGGTAACTGTCTCACCCAAATAGCAATGAATAAAAGTGGAAAGTAATGAATAGAACTCTAGTGTAATCAAGTTGTTCCGGGAAACTCTCCCTTTACCTGCATAGCTCTGATACTGAAAGGAACATCTAGCTGTGTTTTTGTTTTTTAATACAATTCCATAGACAATGGTTGGTGCTTCCAGTAAACTAAGTTCAGTCATCACATGATAGTTGCATTTTCTCTCTATGTTATATTCTTAATTGGTCTGTGTTCGTTGCAGCTACAGGAAAAAATAGATTTGTGGTCTAAATCTTTTGCAAATGCATTTGAAAGTAAGAGCTTCGAAGAAGCTAAAGATTGCATCCGGAGAATGACCTATTATGAACGTGCAATTGAAGAAATAGTGAAGAGACTCTGAAAGGTACTCCTATTATAGTTTACATCATTTAAAGATGCAACATTCTTAAGAGATCATGACTATCTGCAAAGGATTCTACTTTCTTCACTAAATACTGTTTATGTACGAAGATTCTCTTCATCTTTGTAAATTATCTATAATTGTAAAGCAAATGAAAGGGTCGCACAAGTAAATAGAAATATTTGTTACTGTGGTGGCAAGCCAAATTCTTTTCAATCGAAATGTGTATTGGTTTTCAATATTTAGTGAGTCAACATGGAATGTTAAGTCATTGTGACTTCGTTTCAGAGGATAAAGCCGTAGATGCTTTATGGCATTAATTTCAAGATAAGAATACAGAACAGTTCACTGGGTGGTCACTATATGTGAACCAACTTCTCCAATTCATTTTCCATTTTGTAGTCAAATGTATCAAATTTCCTGGTTGTTCCTAATGTTTACATGTCAGCAGTTAGCACCCTATAACAAGGGTTGACAAATGACAATCTAGACTGCCATATAAGGTCTGGATACTTTCAGTTTGCATGATGAAGGATGGAAGACTCTGTTTATCAAATATTAGTTTTTTGAGTCCATGATGAATGGTCACGTAACATTTGCTGCTAATTTTCAGGCCTTTTACAATGCATATACCGTTGTGGCATGCACAACAGAATCATTCCTACTATCATTAGCTACTAACTTGAAGAACCAGAGGCGACTTACTCCCGAGTGACACGTAAGTATAATTGAAATGTTCCTTTTATACTCGGCCAGAAGCTTGTAAATTTCTCTGTATTTGCTGGTTTCGTATGTTCTTGTTGACCCAAACTTCCATTAAACTGTCCCTTTTCTCGTTGAGGGCCATAGACTTGAAGCTTTTCACAGATTACCATTAACCAACGGTAGTTGCATTCTGCCCGTCACTTTAGCGAGCAGTTATGCTATTATTATGCATGTTAGGAAGGATTCTGATTGCCCGTCAGTCATCTTGATCTAACAGACTTTGTTTTCCTCTAATATAGTCACAAAAAAAAAAAAAATCTGTAACTCCTAGCATTGGATGTTGAATATCTTTAATCTGTACTTGACTCCTGCTTTTCTGCTCATTGCATGCTGTTTTCAGGCAACACGTAAATGCAGCTTCCAAGACTTCAAGATCAGCGTGCCTGACACTCCAAAATCAGAACCCTTGTGCTTGAGCTTCATCTGCTGACTTTTCGCCCCTGAACCTTAGCTCGAACTAGGGAGATAGTTGCGGGGCCTTGCGGAAGTACAATGCTGATGGTACCAAGGTGAATTGTGTAATGATATTAATAGCCAATAGCATCAAGCTGAACTGCATGTTCTTTGTATGGGAGAGGGAAATACCAAATAATTTATAGCTTTTGGTGGTTTAATGTTGAAGGGAAGACAAAATAAAAGAGCAACTCTGGCCCATGCTATACTTGTCTTGTTTGCTGTTTAGGTTGGCCTATTATGGACCGGTTGAGAAGCATAATATAGAACCTGAAATGCTATTTATCCCTGTTGATGGAGTAACTTGCGATATATTCAATCAGGCACTCAAGGTGCCATGGCGGGAAGATGCGATGACATCATATCACTCACCTTCTAAAGTTCCAATGCATACTGCAGCTTTTAAGTTAGTTTCCGGTTTCAAGAATGAGGTGCTTAAATACGTAAAACACACATATCTAGGCGTGTACGTCTAGGGTTTGGGAATTGAGTAAAAGATTAAGAATTTGAGGAGGAAGAGAAAGGGGAATTGTAGAAAGAAAGAAGTCGGGTCTGCAGGGAGGAGATGGCCGACCGCAGCAAGAGGGAAGGGAGAGAGAACTTGAGATGAGATTGGTGGGAGAAGGAGAAGGATTTAGGTTTAGAAAATAATTATTATGTTATTGTTTAATGAGAAAAATTCCATTAAAAACAACTCGTAGAGAGTTAGACTCAAAAACATTAACTTCGACCGCTAGCTCTTGCTTCAGTCCTGCCATACACAGTTTCCTCAGCCATCCCTCTCACAAATTTCCCAATCTCAAAAACTCCGCCATGTACTCCTCTACCGTCCCAGTATGCTTTAGTTTTGCTAGCTGCTCATCCCTCAGACTTACCGAACTGGTACTTTAGCTCTTCCTAAAACATCTATCAGGTAATCTAGGTCTCTACTATTGCATAAGACTCTCCATCCATTCCCACCACTGCAAGGCATATCCCTCTAGGTAGAAAGAAACCAGCTACGCCTTCCTTTCCCCCCTATATAGTTGGATGGTTTTTGAACCACCTCTCCGCCGAATACAACCACAATCCCACATCACCATGACCATCAAACATAGGAAACTTTATGACTGGCAGGTTAGCTATGAACACCATATCATCAGTCATATCATACAAAGGGTTGTATCCTTAATACCTGTCCATTCCCTGACGGAACTGACATGTGCCTCCTCCGTAGCTCCGCCCGTGCTCATGTCAGAATGACTGAGGGAGAAACCAATCACCTCTCTCCTCCATGTACCCTTCGGTGTCTCCCAGCTTTACTCCAAACCCTTGTACAGGCTTCATCACTCAACTGGTCATTCCCAGTTCCAAACTAGATGTAACCAATGAGGATACACCGGGTTGGGGGCTCGGTTGTGGCCTCCCCACCCCCATGTTCGGCCTCCCATGCTGTTGTCCGTCCCGGGCAGGTTTGACTCGAGTTTGACTAAGCTCGGTTTGCCCAATTATGTTCCGACGGGTCAGGTCGGGTCGAATCCATGTGTCCTGACTCGAGTCCGAAATCCACACTCGGTCCGCTCCGGGTGGTCCAGGGTCGGCCCATCTTCCACCATGGCCCACCAAGATAAGCTCTTTTTCCGCCACAGCCAGCTGCTCGTCGGCACTACCCACCGCGACCTGCGTCTCCTACAGAGGCACGATCAGCTAGCCCTTGTCGATCTTCGAAATCGCCTCTACAATTGATCGCCCCAGCCTTTCCATTGCCACCTCCAACCTGCCGCCGACCTTGCTCACCTGCTTGCTCAGCTTTGTCAGCTCCGCCATAGTCTGGTTCGCTGCAACCTGAGGTTGGGATGTTGAGTCCAACTATTTTGACTGCACATATGTCAGAATCTGGAACAGGTTTTCGTACTTGGTCACATCATTGGCAGTGCTAGCATCCTTCTGGTCTTTTGTGATTTGACAGCCATTGTTCCAGAACCCCACGCCAAGTAGACTATGATACCAATTGTAAAACACACAAATCTAGACATGTACATCTAGGGTTTGGGAATTTGGAATTGAGTAAATGATTAGGGATATGAGGAGGAAGAGAGAATAGGGTGGACAACGGAAAACAAGTATTTGGGTATATCCATACCTGTCTCTTTTTTTAGGGTTACAGGTACCCAAATACCTGTAATTTTTTTTTACGGGATGCGATTTGAGATCAAGAAAACCTACAATGAGTACCCTCGGGTTACCCGTTAATACCCATTTGGTTATTACAGGTACACGTACTACCCGCCATAGCCCAAATCACAACGGATATCTCTGCTGCATTGCATGACTACATATATATTTGGCATTGCATGGCTACCCCAAATGAGATTCTGGTTATTAATTTTTTCAGGTCAGTAACCACCTTTATTCCACAGAAATAACTAGAAAGCCGTTAGTTAAGTTACCAACGTAGCAACAACTAATGAAAGACCAATCTTTATATGCAGCAGGAACCCTCCTTCATCGTATCAGTGAGCCATCCATTCATAATAATAATCATTGTCTTTCCACAATAATGCCATATTTCTCCTCTTTATAATTTTGACTAATTGGATAATCTGCTACAATATACATAGCTTTTGGAATTTCTGCTCGACATATCTCTTTTCTCGATTTACCAGTTGCACTGAGCTAGTGCGCAGGGGGGATATTTTTTCAGTTTGTGTCGATGATGTGCATGTGGATAAGTGAGGGTGATGTCATTTTAAGGTGGAAAAATTATGTTTTTGTCATTTTAGGTATTATATGGGTTATCCGTGGGTATCCGTTATCCGTCTCGTACGGGTAATGGGTACCCATTAACTAATATGGGTTTAGGTATAGGATGGAGTTTCCTCTCCAAATGGTACCCAGTCTCGTCCTGTTGCCCACCCCTATGAGAGAGGGGAATTGTAGAAAGAAGGAATAAATCGGCTCTCCAGGTGGGGAGATGGTCGACGACAGTAAGGGGGAAGGGAGAGAGAAACTCGAGAATGACAGGGAGAAGGAGAATGATTTAGATTTAGCAAATATTTATTATGTTATTGCTTAATGAGGAAAGTTTCACTAATACAGAATATATTTATAAGCCGATAAATTCTCTATAACTACTCAAAATAATACACCCCACAAATAAACCCCAACAATACAAAAAAAATCTCCCAAATTGTTAACCGAATAACCAAATAATCATAAAACGACAAACAAGTTCAAAACAGTAAATGAGTTAGAAACCACGTTTCAAACCAAATATTAATGAGGATGAGATTGTCGGCGCAAATGCGATTTTCAATCTCAAACTAAGTCAAGGTAACTCTTCTCTCGCCCCTAGTCTCTCAAACCTCTCAGAATCATCAAGAAAATTTCATTCCATCGCGAAGAGAACTTCACATAAACCTACTGCACCACTATCTAATCCGCATATTAACTCCCTCTTCCAACATATCACTGAAATTCCGGGAGCTGAGGGAGCCTCCTAGACAATAAAACCCAGTTGGGATTTCAGTTTTGGAGAAAATCCAAGTCGTTGATAAAGGTTGTAACTGGTGCATAATCCAGAGAAGCCGACATTGTTGGTCAAGGAGGATACTTCTGGTGGAGTGGATGTTAGTCCTTTGGTTTGGCAAATTTCCGTTGTTGTTCGACTAGAGAATGAAATGGCTAGGGAATCTTATGTCGCGTTCATCAAGGAGCTCTACAGAGTCTCGAGAACATACGAGAGATTCTCAAAGTTTTGCATGAAATGCAATAAGCAAAGGTATTTATCAACGACGAGATATTTTACAGGGTTGGTTATATCTTGCATGGAGAGAAAAAGGGACAAAGAAAATGTTGAAAAAGTGAAGCAGCTTGAAAAAATCTACGTTCTTTCATCTCCTAGTGATCACACATCAACTTCGAAAGGGCTTGATTCAAAGTCGAACTGTAGTAAGCAAGAACAACAATTAATGCATGACTGAGTTAGGGTTAGGATTGCCATATTAACTTATTTGAATACTTGAGTCTCACATCTTAAGAAACGATATAGTTATTTATAAAATGATTAGAGAATCGATCTTGTAATGTTATTCGTATGGTATAATCATAGTTACTCAACTCCTAAGTTTGGGTTAGGATTGAGTTATGAGAATTTTATTACCTAATATTAAAATTTGGATCAATATTTTGATTGACGTTGTTTATTAGAAGACACCGGAGTGCTTTTGTTCCTCGCAAATATATAATAGACAACATTATGGTGGCTTTCGAAGGCTTGAATGCTATGAAAAATAGGAGAGCTGGAAAGAAGGGCTTTGTAGCTTCCAAACTTGATATTGCTAAAGCTTATGACAAGGTGGAGTGGGATTTTATGGAGAAAGTTATGTTGAAATTGGAGTTTGAAACCATATGGGTTAATTTGATTATGCAGTGTGTCAAAACATTATCTTATTCGTTCTAATCAATAGCCACATATCCAAGGGTTTCTATGCCACCAGAGGACTAAAACAGGGAGATCCTATCTCCCCATAACTTTTCCTTATGTGTGTTGAGGGACCATCTACCTTAACAATCAAGGCGGTAGATAAAGGAAAGCTAAAAAGAATTCAAGTGAGTAAGAATGATCCAATAAGGAACAAGGTGAAGTTATTATGCATATTTTTAAGCAGTATGAAGAGGATTCAGGTCAGCAAGTTAGTCTCCCTAAATCAGAAATATCCTTTAGCAGTAACGTGGATGACGAGTGACACGCTAGAACACAATACCAAACTGCGGCCAAGTGTAATCGCAGGCCGGGAATGCAGTAAAGTGGCAAGTTCTAATTATCAACCCGGGGTCTAGATCGATTTCCTACTCCGTGATTATCTATTATCTAGCAAACTAAGTCGAGTGATTGTTGTTTTAACTAAAAGCAGTAAGAAAACAGGAATTGGTTCAGTTTTCTGAAGCAAAGGAAGAGTCACTCGGGAATGAGTCCCCCTAGCTCCTTAGTTAGGTCTCCGTTGTAATTACCCTGGGTTGATTTACTGTTGATTAAACTGCGGAAGATCCGACAGTAGCTTGGAATCTCTTAAGCTGACCAAGCCCTCTCAGTCCAACTACCCGGCAGACGACTAGTCTTCACCGGGATAGAAAGCTGAGGCTATGAACACAGAACTCCACTACTGGAATTGGATTCCAGTACAAAGCAGTAGATTGACTATCTCTCGTATAACCAATCTACTACTACCGAATGATGAAGCTCTAACAACCTAATCAGATTCTATCTATCTCAGGTTGCAGCAGAAACCAAGAAAAGCTGATCATACTTCAATTAATTC